CCTCAACAAATTTTACTTCTTTTTTTTTTTTGATATGAAATGTAAGTAAAATCCGACTTATTTTTATCGGGAGCGATTATTTTTGATCACTTGATCGCTTTGGTAAATCAAAGAAAGCTTAGAAAGAACTCCCATGTGCTGAGAGTATTGGAGACACATTAAATATAATTCGAAATTACTTAGCTGAAAACTAATTATGCAAATCAGAAAATTAATATGACCAGATTTGAGTGTAAAACTAATGATGTCTGCGCAATGTAACAGAAAATCTATGTCTCCAAGTTTAATTGAAATGTGATTAGAACCAAAAAATTATGAATTATTATGCTTATTAGGGAATATGAACAGATTTTTACCCCAAACTAATTAGGTTTGTACATTGTCCTAGAGCATCTTTGTACTAAGTTTCATTGAAATGGAATAATTAGTACCGTGAAAACTCCAAAATTTCGACCCCTCTAAAAATTCGTCCGCCTATTTATTTGCAACGAAAAAAATACCGATGTGAGCGTTCAAACGGGACCTTCCTCAAAGGCATGAATCCGGGTTTCTGATTGACTGAGAGATTTTTATTTTATTGGTAACGAAAATATATTCTAAATAAACGAAGTTTCAAATAAAAACGAACACAAAAATCTCGGCATGCTGCGTTTCTGAATTGTTGATTATTACTGTACTCAGTAGTGATTATAATAATGTACACAAAATAAATTTGTTGAATGGTTATGAAATACAAATAAAAGTCAACTTAGTTTCATCGTAAGCGAATGATTCCGGTCTCGTATAAACGTTTGATGCTGTAGGATATCCGCCATGTTCTCTTAGGTCAAATAGGTCAAATCGCTAATTAACCAATCAAAAAGCTGGATGATGCCAACGTGTTCAAATTACCATAGCTTATTTAAATATGTTAATGTTATTGAACGCAATGCGGAAGAGATTGATGTTGTAGTACGATATTTTGGCTTGGATTTTGATGCGAAAACGGCATGATTTTTTTTAAATAAAAAAATTAGTTGTTTTTAAAAAATAAACTGGTCATCTGGAGAATATTTCAACATTGTTCACAGTGATAAC